TGAGGCCCACCCGGTGGGGTTCCGGATCCAACAAGGGCTACTTGCCTGCCATCCCGTATTAAGTTCCTTTGCCTGTTCCAAAAACGCGAATACATACTAAGGTGATCGATCAATATCAGTTAAAACTTAGTACTGTCAACGCGTGTAGTAACGATCCTGAAACGAGACAGAATAAATTTATAAAGGTTTCGGCAAGTGCCAACTGACTCGGTTTTATAAGTGGCTAGAGAGCATGCCTGAGCAGTTGTATGACACGGCAACAAGAGTTCTCATGAAAAACCCTAAAACGGATTCTCAATTTCGCGGAAGTCATTCCTCTACATTCTTTAGCAATTTATTCATTGCGACGACATCGAACTGAGCATTTACTAATATCAACCTCTTTAAATTTTCCAGACAAAGTTATGTACAGAGTAATTTTCCAAACTGTAAATAGCAAGGTCCGAGGCTGAAGTAGGTTAAAAGCCACCAGCTGAATGGAGTTTTTTCAAGAAGTACCAGGCCCGCTTGTATGACACTTCCAATGACCTTTCGTTTACATGACTATCTGCATGGCAAATATTGTTGTTATACCCAAAAATTGCAAATCACTAGAGAAGGAAGTTTGAAAAATTACGCCAGCCAAATAACAGCGTTTAAATTTGCATGAAAAACAGAAAACACTCTGGTTAAAACCTTGCATTAATCCTCGTTCCTATTATGAGCGGCATAGGAACATGCATATCATCCGGGAGATCGCGCAGATATTCCAGTTGTACAGACCGTGTTGCTTGAAGCGTTCTAATTTTGTCCCGCTTTTCCTTCAGGGAACGTCTTTCCTCGTCGAAAAATGCAGTGGAGCACCGTCTTGGTTTACCCATAAGACGTCGAAGAAGTGACCAGTGTGCTCTTGTAAGCCTTCGAGTTTTAATATTTGGAAAGTTTTCTCTAAGACATATCCGGAAGTCGTTTTCGCTCAACAGAAGAGGTCTGTCGAGATTGGAATAAAACCATTCATAAAACACCCATTTGTGAGCTTTCGGAAGCTTCAGGACATTTCTTAAGCGGACAGCGTTCACCTGCGAATTACGCCTTTCCGGGTTCGCATACAAGCCGCGCCATCCTATTGGGTTTCCTACGCCCTACAGAGAACATAAAAAACGAAAGAACATACCGCTTTTGGAACCCTACGAGCACGGTGAGGATCATCAGGCTGCAAAGGACGGATAGGTGAGAAAACACGAGGCGATTCGCGTGGACGATATTGGGAAGTCTGCTCGTAATAGTCCTCAAAATAACGGCTCTTCTTCCTCGCACGAGGCGGCTAAAGGAGATAGATAAGGGTATGGTGAGTTACGTTTTTTCTGTATGACATTCCATATTCGTCGATATCATCTAAAGTAAATAATACAGTTCAATGTCACAACTAACAATGCGAATCGTCCGCCATTTTCTATTCGGAACGAATTCAGCGCCATGGATTTCAACACACTTAAACAACTTTGCAGGTAAAGTCTGTAATTCAAAACTGAAAAACATTTAGGAACAAAATAGACGGCTTTAAAACATTCGCAGTTTCTTCATTAGATTGCATAGTTATTAATTATATCCTAAGTCTTCGAGTTCTCTACGCAAATTTAGAATATCAGGATGCCTAGTGTGAAATGGAAATCTTATTAATTGAATGCCATTATAATTACAAACATCACCATAACTCCCACGAGTAATCCCACCTATTCTCAAGTAATGGGGATGTTACCAATAAAAGGTGTACTCATTTCTTGCTCCTAGAGGTGACGAAAAATATGAATATCTTACCCCAGAGCTGGTGTACTCGGGGGATTTTAGAATCGACTTCATGGTGCAGTTCAAAGAAGGTATCACTCATACCTTCTATGGATTAAGGTAGCATACCTCTCGGATACCATCCGTCTTGGACTTCGTACGCTCCTACAAGTTCCGCAAATCCAAGACTCTGCTTCAAAATGTAAGGTTGCGCGTACCTTCGCAGTTATTTTAACTTTATCTATGAACAA